TGGGCTACTCGCCTGAAGGGATTTCATTCCCGGAAAATACTTCTCATACGTAATTATTTATATAATATTTTACATAATGATAAAGTGTCAAAATGTAAATAGAAAAGTCCTTTGATAAATGAGATTTTGATTCAATTAAATCTCGTTACATCATCTGTTGGTAAACACTATGTAAGTTGTTATGAACATGTAACACAATCGTTCTTTTCCCAAATATGACTACAGGTCAGGTGAGGCTTCGATAGTTGCCAAATCTGGATGAGATTCTATGCTTTCTTTCCAACTTCAAGGATTTTCCGAAAATATTTTATGGCACGACTTTCAAGTGACTTAAGCATGAAGATGCCCGAACTCTCGAAATTTAAGCACGAAGAAAAACACATCTTAAATAACAAGTAAAAATCCATCTTTTGTGAGAAGTCGAGAAATTTTAAGAATAAAGATGTCCGAACTCTTGAAATTTAAGATTGAAAAGTATTTCAAGTTTGTGATGTCTATGTCAAATTTTCACCCTATGCTAGGACTACTAATATGTCTAATTAACATGAAAAATATTATTCATCCCCAGTGGGGATGTATCCCTAATCTATGTGAATGTAAATGATTGGTTAAATGATAGGTGAAATTAAATAACTTATTTAATTTCTCCTATCATTTAATGCCACATTATCGCTATATAAACTGGGGATGCATCTCCAGTGGGGATGAATAGCATTTCTCAATTGACATGCTTATTTTTATTGTGTGTCTTAATTGAAATACAGTCAATGATCATTCCTCACGATAAACTATACTTTATTTCATCGTTTTAATGAAATACACCTTAAATAAAGAAATCGATCGAGGTTATACGTCGTAAGCTTATATTAAAGACCAAACAAGTCACACCTTAAAAAGACTATCAAATTACTCAATCAACCTGACTCATGGGTAGAATTGAGTATCCATGTCGAACTTCTTTCATTCCCATGAACATATTTAGAAAAATTGAATGGCCGGCTGGCTGGTCCGACCAACAAAAATTTCGAAATCTCTAAATTTAGATAGCTCGAGACAACCTACTTGACACGATTGCTTCAGAGAAGTTGAGCCTTGGATATTTGGTGGGACTCTCTTTCTTTACCAAGATATTCAAACCCAGCTGAGAATACGATTTATTCATCTCATGCCAGCCTAGCCATCTTTTGGGACTTGCAGGAAGGATGAGAAATACGAAGTATGAACACAATAATTTGGAACAGTCACTGCTGTACCGAAATAAATACGTACGTCATTAACATTAAACCAAGAACAACGAATGATTCAGTCCCCTATTTGTCATTTAATACATGCATGCATTCATAATTATACTTATATGTAACTCCCATAATTGTGTGCACGAAATTCAATCACTTCCTCGTCAATTTATACACTATTTCCCTTCTGGTTTTTGCCAACTTATACACTTATTTTCTCTCCATTTGCAATGGATTATAGTGAACTTAGTGTTCTTGAACTTGAATTTGAAGACTTCTTATACATGGAAGAACAGCAGCCTCTGGGGTAATGTGATTTGTGTTATTTTTTACGTTTGATTTCTTTTAATGTATATTAAACTAGACAGATTTGGTCAAGTCTCTCTTTCAGTCGTTTTTAGGGCCCGTTTGGCATGGCTTTTAAAAAGTCAAAATGAGATTTTAAAATCAAAAAGTTGCTTTTGGACCCGTTTGACTATTCTATGAAAGTGTTTTTTCTAGTTAAAAATAAGTTTTTAGAGGAAGTTGAGTCAATGTCGTTTCTTCTAAAAACACTTTTGAAATATGAAACTCCTTTAAAAATTAATTTTTAAACAAAACTTAAGTTAATTTTCTCCAAAAGCTCTTCTACACAAAGCAGACACAAATACAAAAGTCATAACCAAAAGGACCCTTAATCTTGTTGAGTCGAACTTATAATAGAACATGAACTCATTTTGTTTTCTTAATTTTGTAGATCGTGGGAACAGCAGTCTGTATTTGGAGATGGCTTAAACAATTGTGTGCCTAGTCTATTTGAATACGATAAATATTTACTACCTTATCCAAGTAGAAATCCTTCCAACTATGAACTGTCTGACTTTGAAGAAATTTCTGGTTATTTTGACTTGTGGGATTCATTGAACCTACAATCTCTATACAATGAAATGGTTGTCGACGCCAAGCCTTTGAACACAGCTTCGGGCAATTCTCAAAGTGAAAATATTTTGAGTGAAGCCATGAATGTGGTTTATGGTAGAGAATTAACGGTTTCAGACAGAAACAATGGGATTAAAAGAGTTGGAAGATACAAATCTTGTGCACTGGAATTGGATGAAATTCAAAAATACTTTGATGTTCCAATATCTAAAGCTGCCAAGGAATTGAACGTCGGATTGACTGTCTTAAAGAAACGATGCAGAGAACTAAACATCATGCGATGGCCTCATAGAAAGATTAAGAGCGTAAAGTGCCTTATCGACAATGTTAAGGTAAGTAATCACAGTGATACAGATGCTAGAAACACCACATTCTTGGGCTCTACAGACCTCAATCCATTCTGTTTAGACTGGCAAAGAAGTAATGATCAGAAGATTGTTGTTAGAATTATTGTCAATGGAATGCTTAGTTATGAGAGCAAGTTCTAGGTTTATGTTTTTATTTTCAATAAATCTTTGTAATTTTCTATATAAATATTGATTACAGGAGCTGGGCTTGACCGATGAGATTGAAAAGCTGGAGGAACATAAAAGGATGCTAGAGCAGCTGCCAGAAATGGAACTGACTGAAAGAACCAAAAAACTGAGGCAAGCTTGCTTCAAGGCCAATTACAAGAAGAGAAGGTCCATGCAAGTTTATTTTGCTTGACCTAATCTTTTGTTTATTTTCTGCGTATTCAAACCTGGGAATGCGTTTCATAGATCCAAAAGTTATCTCTTTCTTCATTTGATCAAAGATTTCTCTATGGCACGGATGAAATAAAGACTTCTACTCCCCAAAAATGTATTATGTATTCCCTAACTTTCATATCCACATCATTTCGCAACAGAATTAGAAAGTTAGAAATGTTAATTTCTTTTGTGCATTTTGCAGATGCTCCAAATATACAATTTAAACCAATACAATATTAGTTAGTACAATGTAAACTTGTATAGAAGTTTTCGTATTTTGATTTTCTTTGAACAATACTATGAATAGAAAACCGGACGACATACCAAAACCCCATTAATAAAAGGGGGGTAATTGCAGTAAAAACCCCCAAACTTTTGAAACACTAGCACCCTTTCTCTAAACCTTTCATTTGTTGCAGCCATCATCCCAACCTTTCTAACTGTTGTAGGTGAGGCCTTTTGTACGGTTTCCATCCAAAATGCTGTTGGTTGACCACCGAAATAAAAAATTGACCAATTTCAACCAAATAAGGAAGGGCAAAATGGTAACTTAATGTTTTTCCCATAAAATAATTAAAAACTTTTAAATCAAAAACAAAAAAAAATAATAAAAGGGAAAAAAGGAAATTATCTTCTTCACCCTCGTTCTCACCCTCACTCCCAACCACCACCCCCAACCCCTCAACCAAAACCAGAAATCCACCATAGCCATCGACCACCACTACCACTTCACCACCATTACAACTGCAAAGAATGTAGTGGTGGTCGATGGCGACTGTGTGTTTCTATTCTAAGTGGCTGTTATGGATATTAAATCAAAGAAGAAGATAAGCTTACGGATATTCTTTTGATTATAGTTACATCTCACCTTTATCAATTTTAGTCTACTATTGGCTTTCGCACCTTTCTAGGTCTACAATGACATAACTGTTCAAAAATGGTGAGATTCGAGTCACCAAGTTTTTCTTTATCCTTGAATAAAATTTAACAAAGATGTAGTTAAAAGAATGTTTTTTCTTGCAGGGAAGGAAAAGGCTATCAGGGTGCATTTGATTGCAATGATGGAAAATAGGTGGAAAGAAAATGTTTTACAGAGAAAAGATTTGCCTAAAAAATATTTTGTAGGGAAAATGATTTCAAGTGTGTTTGATTGGTATAATTTCCCACTTGGAAAATTTTTAAATTTTCTATTCGTTTGACTTTATTTTACATGGAAATTGTTCATTAAAGTGATATTTTTTTCCACAATTGGTTATGAAATTTGTTTCCATTGCCAAAAAGTGGGAAAAAAAATTGTTTCCTAAAAAATCATTTTTTTAATTAAAGTTTAGTATTCGTTTGATTTTGTTTTACATGAAAAATGTATGTAGCCTATCAAACACGACCTTAGCTTCTTCCCTTGTCAGTGATTCTCCTCTTGGGGCCTTCTCTCTATCTTCTCCTATGGTCTTCACTTTTAGCAGCTCCAGTTTCACGAAGCCCAATAGTATTGTATGACAAATGATGAATAGTCTTCTTGTTATTGTGCACGTCAGGAATCACATCTGGTTTTGATTGAGGGGTTGGGGGTGGTGGTTGGGAGTGAGGGTAAAGGTGAGGGAAAAGAGATATTTTTCCTTTTTTTATTTAACTTTTTTAATTATTTTATGGAAAAAATATTAAGTTACCATTTTACCTTCCCTTATTTGGTAGAAAGTGGTCAATTTTTATTTTGGTGGTCAACTGACGGCATTTTGCATAGATACCATCCAAAATGGCATCACTTACAACGGTTGAAAATGTTAGGGATGACGGTCGCAACAAATGAAAAGTTTGGGGAAAGTGTGCTAGTGTTTCAAAGGATTAGGACTTTTGCTGCAATTATCCCTTAATAAAATCTTAGACCTTGTTTGATAACTTAAATTTTCCATGGAAAATGGAATTTCCATTTTCCATTCATTTGACTTATTTGATTGGCATTTTTTGCTAGACAAAATTTTTTCCACTTTACCTCTCCACGAGCCTGATTTCTTGCCAATTGATTTAGGTGGGAAAAGCTTTTTCAGGTACTGTTGCCCTTTTTTTTAGCAATGGAAACAAATTTAATAACTAGTTGTAAAAAAAAATTCACTTTAATGAACAATTTTCATATAAAATAAAGACAAACGAACGCTAAATTTTGATTAAAAAAGATAATTTTTTTAGAATTTTTTTTTTTTAAACTTTTTGGACATGGAAACAAATTTTATAACTAATTTTGAAAAAAATTATCACTTTAATGGACGATGTCCATATAAAACAAAGTCAAACGAACACAAAAGATCCAAAATTTAAAAATTTTTTGGGTGGAAAATTATATCAATCAAACATACTTAATTAACAATTCCCTGCAAAACAATTTCTAGGCAATAACATTCCCTGAAATTCATTTAATTTCCACCCACTTTTCACATTTGTAATCAAACGGACCCTTAGTGATGAAACAAACACAGGAAATCACACAAAAGGAAACACCGATAACATTGAGTCAACAAGACAGTAACAAGTAGCACTTGTAAAGGTTGAGAAAGTCCGAAGAACGTACAATGCAGCAATTGACTCACTCACCCTAACAAACGAGCAAAGCACCTCACAAATCTTGCCAAGCCATTTACGATTTACTCACAAAGCATCTTAGAGCAGTAACATGGCAATAGATTGGAGTGCAATGGAATTCTATGTGAATACAACAAATTTGTGTAGAAAATTTAAGAGGCACAACCTAGCATCATGCAAATATTAATCAAGATAAGTTTTTTGCGATATTCAGAGTTGTGTTACGGCAATAAAGGAATTAAGAAGAAATACAAGAACCCTCTCACCCACAAACACCGTGATTGAAGGTGACAATGAAAGAATGCCTAATACCCACGCCCACGATCCCAACCATACCAAGGCAAACATCCGGTGAGGATGTGGTCAAAACTTTCAGAATGTGATTATCAGTTAAAGAAAAAAATATGCCCCCTACTTTTACAGGTAAGATGGGATACAGAAATGCTTCGAGCAAAATTCCATCATAACAATTGAGAATCTCATTATTTCCTAGGTGGGCAAAATGACTGAGTTAGGGAAACTGATTGTATGTGAAAAAAAAAATGCATCCAAAATTTCATGTTTAGCAGAAGCGTGATATTCCTTTCACAAATTTCATATGGGAACTGTACATTATTTCTCATCTCATGGAAAACCCTTTTCTTAATTCTTTCCATTTACAGTTGTTTCTCTTATTAATATTTCCAATGAGGTTCAAACCTAGGAACACTTTTGATAAATGCAAAAGGAGTCTTGTTTCATCTTTAATCAGAGATTTCTCTATGAACCTGTGCAGGAAAAACTCAATTCAACTTTCTATATCAGATTATGTATCACAAAAATTTCATATTCACATCAATACAGTTGCATTCTACTAGAGACACTTGTTTTATGACCATTTCAAGTAGATGAAGATGCTTTTATCTTATCATAGAGGGACTCTGGTACTAATTAAGTTTGTCATACATGCAAACACAGATAGCAAATTTTCTATATGAATTATATAGACCATAATTCAAAATGAATTTGACCAACAATAAGAAGGGAAAAAATCTGCTAACATACTATAAATAATACAAAACTAGATTTATTTATTTGTACAGTCCACCTTATCAAACAACCCGTAAATCTACTCTCCAAACATTACAATATGATAATTGATTGGATTTCTATGCATGTGACAGTGTTTTAAAGAGAATTCTGTGAGAATTACACTGAAAATGCAGCATCATGTAAACATTAATCAAGTCAAGTCTAGACAAATAATTTTCCTTACCAATGCATATTTAGAAGAAACATGAGAACATTCCAATTTTCAACATGAGCACTATTAAGTGGCCTCGAGCAAATTCAATCAATGCAATAGAGAATCTCATCATCATCTCTTAGGTGGGACAACAGACGGACTGGGGCAGGGCATCCATGTTACATAACCTTTCCAGTGTAAAGTAAAATTCGGGAAAAGAACTGTAAATGGAAAAATTATTTCGTGCCACTACCGAGTATGAAGAGTCAAAACACCATAACCATAAGAAAGAAGCACTTCCATTAAAATGCCTAAGCATTAAATTTGAATCCATTATCTCAGTGACTCCTCTATAGAAGAAACAATTTGAATCATGCTACAAGCACAGAATTTTTTGAGAGAAAATCCTTACATGGCGTGGCATCATTGGAAGATGGGAAAAAAAGAAAAAAACAGTCCAATCACATTTTGCCATGTCAACATCGGTACACATTTTGTTAAATTTTTCCTGTACTCGTGGCTTTATTGAAACAATTTTGCATTCGATGCGTATAATATGTGCATGTATACACAATTGAAAAACGATTCAATAAGTAAACAAGAGAAATAAACACATGTACGAACTTTTCCCATGAAATATACACAGTATATTGTTAAACTGAATCAACATTACCATCAGAAGCAGAAGCAAACTGCCATTGCAGAACAGCACAGATAACTGAAAAAAATGTAGTTTGCGTCATTTCCTGAATCAACTCAACTATCGATGCATTTGAAACCGCGGCAAACACACAACCAGACTATGAACAAGACAGTGCAAACAAACAAATCAAATGATAACACAATCCACACTTGCTTTTTCCAAACTTTCTTGGCCTTGTTATGGTTGTGGTTTCCCATCAATTCACCGGAGTACATCCCATTCTTATGCATTGCCACCGAATACTCCCGGCTCAATAAAATCCCGCCCCTATCGTCGTCTTCACCCCCAATGTCGACTTTCTTCTCGACACCTCCTTTACCCTTCAGGCCCCCACTGCCAATCTTAAAATCCCCAAACAATCTATTCATTTTCTTCTTCAAATTCATCGATGGATCCCCATTTGGCATACCCAGATAGCCTGACTCGGAATACAGACTGCCACTTTGATCCAATCTTTCCCCTCTTGGAACCTCCGGTTCAGGTTCAGGTCCAGGTCCCGGTCCCTGACCCAGTAACCGATGGAAAACCGGATTGAATTCCCCCTGAAAACAATGAGAACTCACCCGTTCCAACCTCTTCTTCCCCAGATCAACCTGGAAAAACTTATCAAACGCATTTTTTACGCTCCTGAGAAAGCCCAATCCCTCAAATTTATCCAGTTTTTCATCAAAAATCGCAAAATAAACAAACTGGTCATCGATCAAGAAAGTATATGTTTGGGACGGGACTGTGTGGGAAAATGTGGAATGAAACGGCGGCGTTTTCTCCAAACATTTTTCGGCGATCGATCTAAGTTTCTCACCCTTCGAATTGAACTCGGCCAACACAGTGATGCCCCTGGCAATGCACGCATAATGAACCAGATCCGGTGCCGGAAACATCATTCAATTCCGACCCGACCCGTGTTGTTCATAAAAAACCCACCCGTGTACGATAATTGTTTCAACAGATTATGCTGCAACTAAAGACAAAATATATACGCTCAGAAATCCTAAATGCTTCTTTTCGAATGAGAAAATGTGAAAAGGGCACTGAGATTAACGATTTTTTTAGGGTTCCAGAAAGCCACCGGAAAAGGAGGACGTGGAGAGAAAGAAGAAAGAAACACCTCAACAACCAACTTTTCCACAACCGTAAGGATATGCTATAGACAGTAGCCCCCCAGCCCTATAAATTAACAATAAATTATTTGTGGGGAATTAAAATATCCCCTGTTATCTATTTGTATATGATTCAATGATTGACAATAAATTATTAAAAAAAAAAAAAGGAAATTAATTCTTTGGGTTAAATTTGTGGGAATCTATTTATATTTCATTATTTCTTGAGTTTAACTATACAAAATAATAGGATTATTTTTAATTTCTGTTTATGCTTACCGATATCTTAACCTATCTGTTTCGCGCAGATTTATCGAGACTCGCTAACAATTGAAAGATGATTCAGACGATTGTGTAAGGAACAAACCTTTTGAGACAAAGTCACAAGGATAGATGCTTTATTTATGAAGATTACAATAAAAAATAAACAAAACGCCTCCATGGGACACAAGTACACAAAGTAATTTGAAAGTTTGAGGATAAGAATTAAAAGAAATGAAATTACATATTCTCTATTTGAGAGTGATTGATTCGGGGTCTTTCCTTCTACGTCTTTTTTTTCTTTTATACTCCTTCGTGCAGTTTTCCATGTGAAATCGTTTGGAAACTGCTTGTTACTCTATAACTACCAACTTGGTTCATAATGGCTGATGTATCAAGGAGCTTCCTTTTTTA